GGGAAATGCATGGGACTATGGTGGTGGCACAGGGGTGATTTGGTGATGGGAAACCCGCGGGGATTACAATCGAGATGGAAAAAAAAATGTGCAAAATGATGTAAAAATAAACTTTGTAATAAATAAAATTAAAAAATGGGCAAAATGAAAAAAAATTGGGCAAAATGATGTACAATATATATGTGTGTGTGTAGATATATATAATAAATTGTAAAAAAAAAAAAAAGAATAAAAAAATAAACCCGCGGGGATTACAATCGAGATGGAAAAAAAATGTGCAAAATGATGTAAAAATAAACTTTGTAATAAATAAAATAAAAAAATGGGCAAAATGAAAAAAAATTGGGCAAAATGATGTACAATATATATGTGTGTGTGTAGATATATATAATAAATTGTAAAAAAAAAAGAATAAAAAAATAAAATGGGCAAAGGACTGGAATCAACTTTTCTCCAAAGGAAGACGTGCAGATGTGAAAAGATGCTCACCTCATTAGTCACTCGGGAAGTGCAAATTAAAACCACAAAGAAACATTGCTTCCCATTAGGATGGCAGTAACAAGAGATAAAATAACAAGTGTAGGGAAAGTGGATTGCAGTGGCCTGCTCTGGAGAACAGTATGATGATGACTCAAAACGTTTAACAGAGAATTATCCTATGACTCAGCAATCCCACGCCTAGGTATGTACCCGAGAGGATTAAAAACAGATGTGCAGCAAGGACTTGTATGTAAAATGAGAGGACAACATTGTTTCAATAGTCAGAACACACAAACAGCCGGAATGTCCCCATGGGGTGAATGGGCCCAGGGAGTGGGGTCTCTGCTGAGGCGCAGTGGGGAGTCACTCCGCCCAGAGCACCCAGCCAGACTGCAGCCTGGGTAAGAGCTGAAAACACGGAGCTGAGAGCAGCCAGGCACAAGGGCACGCTGCGCGGCTGGGAATCGCCACAGGTTAGTTTCCAGAGACGGAAGGCAGGTTCGTGGCTGACAGGAGGGAGGAGGGTGCATAATGGGTGTGGGCTTCCCTTTTGGAGTAAGAGTGTTCTGGAACTAGAGAGTCACGACACTCGCACAACACGGTGAAAGGACTAAATGTCTCTGAATCACTGAAATGGCTCAAATGATGGATCTCACACTGTGGGGACTTACCGCGCACGCCAGAAAAATGCGTAAAATATGCAGCATGCTCAAAGTTGCCCTTTGCAACGTAAGGTTTTAGTGGTCAATAAGCATGTGGACTTGAAGGGTAGACTTTGTGGGTGCGTACTCCCCCATTCTCTAGCTGTGGAACTGGGGGCACAATGTTCCCTCTGAGGCCTCAGTTTCTCCATCTGTGACGCGCAGATGGTAGTAACCCTCATTTCTAGGCTCCCCGAGGACGCAGGCAAGGATGCGCTGGCAGTACTGGGGTTCCGGGGTGCTGGGGTGGGGTGGGGCAGCTCGCCCTTGGAGCCTGCTTCCGACCTGGGAAAGGAATTCATCGCTCAGGCCATTCCTGTGTATTCAGCCCTTGCTGGAAGTGGGATCCCAGCAGGAGAAATCGAGCTCAACCTCCCTGGCGCTTGCATTCCAGTGGGACTGAGGGTGGGTGGTGGGGACGGTGGGTGGGGCTGAGGGCGGGAGAGGTGTGAATGGAGCAGGTTGGTTACATCAACGCTAGGCTTAGTCTTTCCTTTGTAGTTACAAGAGCAGAACTTCCGAGCGTGGGCCAGCGCCCTCTGGCGGCCACACGAGGAACCGCCTGGCCGCGGTGGGGGCCGGGCGAGCAGGGTGATGAGCGTGGAGGCCGCTCGGGTATGGAATTCTGGATGTTAACAGTTACAAAGCCTCGTGGACACCGTTTGTGAGGGCGGAGGCAGGCTGTCCCTCCGAGGCGTGGCGACGTGAAATGTGAGGAGGGCTCCTCTTGTACGAAACAAGCTGGGGAAATCACTGGAGACAATTGTACCTTAACAAAGGTCCCACCCTGGGACAGGGTTGAGTCTCAGCACTCTGAAGCTGTCGGCAGC